GCGGATCGCATGATTAACGGCACGTTTCAAAGAATATAACGTCCCGTTGTTTAGACACACACACAAACTTATCGGGCATGTTAATTATCGATCGGTTTCTTCGATATCCAATAAATTCGACGTTAACAATTTTCTTGCCTAATTGCTATTGGTTTTTAATTACTGAAATCAATTTACAAGAAAGATATAGCAATAATATAAGTAGAACATCTAATATATGATTTCATCAACGTATTGACACTTGCAACTCTTTTTTGATACGCTTTAAAACATTTAATTGATACGACTTAATATATCATCAATTTGAAACGTCGTTCTGTGTTACTCGCACATTTCGACACTCGTAGATGTATTTTGAGCTCTAGTGTAATTGCCAGCCCAACCCCTCGAAAATTCAAGTCCCGTTGTACGGAATTCGGACTACACGAACAAAGTTTTGTCTTTGATGTGGTTGATTGCTATTTTCGATGCATCCATGGACAATGCAGTGAGGCTCGTTAAATGCAACAAGTTCAAATCGAGACCAATACATATGCACGTGCACGCTTATGTTGTATAGTTGATTTCTAAATTGAAAACGACTTGTCAAAAATTACGAACACAATCAAGTCTGACACTTAGATTTGAGTAAGATCAGCGACGGAAAGAAATTTAGTAGAGATATTCTGGTTTTAGATAAAAACATAATATTTCTCAAATACTGAAAAGATCAATATTTGTAAAGAGATCGCATGAAAATATAATTTTGCGATAAATATCAAATCTATCATATATAAATATATAATGCGGTTATAAAAGCTTTTTTTTCAAGTAATTTGAGAAATAAGTAAAAAATACTTCAGTTAAAAAATAGAGAACAATCTTTGATTAATCGAAACCGACTGTTTTTTTTTGTTTACTTGTTTTTGTTTCCACTATTCTGCCATTGCAATGCACGATTGTGGACAAATTTCGCGTGATCCAATTTCACCGTGCGAAAAATTCGAATATAAAAACAACAAAATGTACCCCAAGGATCGATAAAATTGAATTTTCAATATATATACATATATATATATATATATATATATATATATATATATACATACATATAAACGCATTATCTTGTTTTTATTTTAACAAAATAAGCAAGTAGGTAATTACATATTATACATATACCTAAAAAACTCTTACGCGTATATAGTTGATACATTGATGTATTTCTGTAGACAATCGCCGTTTCTGTGTATCTCGAAATTACTGTCTTAATGAAAAAGAAAGAAATCACAAACATATATTTCACAAATATAAATCCTGTCTTATCCTATCGTCTAGCAACTTTTTCTTATCTGCTTACGAGATATCTTGGATAATGAAGACATGAAAGAGTCATATTTTTCCAGAGATAGTTTGTTAGTAGATATAGCCCCTTTTGTCTGAATGATTATATATGTATAGTAGGTAAAATAATATCATTCTACTTCGTTATGCACGTCACGATAACTTGTCGTTACAGCGAAAATGGAGACTCGGATATCCTTTACGTTACCATGTAAAACGGTATTATCACGTTATCGTATAACGCGAGTGGCAAGAGATTGGAAAATGACGGGGGCGAAGGAATAAGGGGGACTATTTATGGTATATACCGCGGATCAAGCCCTTAAGGGGGACGTGTATAAATTGGACACGGTTAAGGCTGACTTACTTATAACAAAACCATTGCCTCAAAATTAGCGGCGCCCGAGTTTATTACCGTAATGGAGAAAATGAGACGTCCGTATCATGATAAGAATCAGTTCTATAGATTTTTTCATTTGTTTCCTTAATTTTGTTAAGAAAATTAATTGAATTTTGTGCGCGAGTAGTATTCGCGATAATTGCAGTTTGAAATTGAAAAGTACACAACGCGAAATGCTTGCGAGCAACAAATTAAACCGGACGGTATTGGCAAATTAAAGCAAAGTGCGTCTGAAAACTACCGGGGAATAAGAACGTTGGATTATTCATTTAGCGCAATAAATTACATTCAAGTAGCGCGCGGGTGTTTGTTCGTATTACGAGTAAGCCGATTAGATGAGACAGCGGAAAAAGCGCAAAGTCGAAAAAAGATTGAACGCTGATCGGGAGAAAAATACTTTGCGAAAGATGCATTGTTACGTATCAGTCGAACGAGTAGGCATGTTAGCTTATCGATTGGCGATTAATCGATCGATACTTTGTTGTATCCCATAACCGAAGCCATTGAATTAACAAGGAATATTTTTCTTTCTTGTCTTCTTCCCAACTTTTTCTCTCTTTGGTGTTTCTCTTTTTCTTTTTCGATCGCGCCTCTTTTCGCCCGTTCTCTCATCTTTTCTCCCTCTTTGTCCTTGATCGTTTATTGGTTCTCTCGTTCACTCTGACTGATTGGAGCATACGCGTGGAGCATTAAATTCAATCGAAAACTATTTTTTCCTGCTGGCACTCCGGCGCAGACAAATTGTACGTCCCACACATGTCGGTTCTGTACAAAGCCGACCGCTGTTTGATCCGTTATTTAGGACCCGTGTCCAGCTCGCGTTCAGACTCAATTGTGTGATCGAGAAGAAATGACATTTTTACAAATATATATCGATCCCATTAATAGTCGTGTGCTTTCGTTTTATGATTGATTGAAGTGTCGAACAACTGCGCACATGTACATAAATATATCATAGAAATAATAGTAAAATAGAACTTTGAGCCAAAAACAAAAAACTTCAACATATATCTTAGATATATACATATATATATATATATTTAAGATACTATTGTAAAACACACGGAGCGTTCTGTAACACGACCATCTTATCTATCTTGCATGCGATAAAGGAACGAACCAGCAGATGCACCGGGAGAATATAAGAGCGCCGTCTTACAAAATTGTCTTGAAATCTTAAACGTTTTAATCTAAGCAACGAATTGCTTTGTAAATCTTAATGAAATCTTAGAAATTCGATCGATCAATTTATGTTGCCTTTGTTACTAATATCCGCAATGAAACATTTTAACATGACACATTCTCATAACGTCATTTTCTCGTCGCGAATTAATTTTCATTTAAAACAGCGAATAGGAGAGATGTTCGCTCTTTCTTGTAATTTTACGGAATATAAAGCAACGAACAAACGAATAGACAAATTAAATTGAAATTAATTGGAGCTTGGGAATTCGAATTATTATTACACGCGACAAACATTGAAAGAACTTGTAATTACATGCAAAATTGTAAATTAAGATATTTGACACACTTATGATGCGTGCTGTCAAAACTTTTGCATAATTTCTAAAAGAAGATTATGCAACAACTCGAAGAAATTTTCCTTGTAGGTTAACATGTTTGGTTATCGATATAAATTACAGAAAAGGCTTCTTACATATATGATGCTGAGAAAACTACAAGTATACAAACTTTTATATTATTTTAAGAATATAAAGTAGAAGAAAGTTTTTACGAGACTAGGACACTCTTTTTATACGGGTGATTGAAACAGAATGGTTTTTCAAGTGATTCTCTTTATAAAAATGCAGAAATATTACCTAAATACTCAGTTTTTAGTCAAGTTTGAGTAAGTGAAGTTTGAGTTGTATACTAAGTTGAATAGTAGAAAAATTACTTCGCGATAATTTCGCGCATAAAAATGTGTTGTTTTGAAATCACGTTCTCGCCTAATGGTATAGTAATTTATCGTAACGAGTTGCGATGTGATCTTGTAATATCGCTAATGGCCGTAGCGTATCTAGATCGTAAAATAGGTGTAAAAAGTGTGACATTAATTAGCCGCACAGCTTTTTGCGTGATCGATTAAATTAGCTCCGTCCGATAAAAGTTATCAAGGAAATTGTAAGAGATACTGCGGATAATTAATGCAGGCATGTTGGTAAACATGTTTTTACCGAAACAATGTAGCTGCAGTGATTTTAATAATTTACAATTCTAAGATTTACTTTAAGACAGATAGCTCTTTTTTTAAAAACCCATCAAGACTTATGCTAGCAAAATTTTTCACGTAGTAAATGTAAATGAAGAAATGCATATTTAATACATTCCTTTGCGCGAAGACGTCTTCGTATTCCAAATGTTACGATCGAGAATCGATTCAATCATTATAGAAGAACGTCCCGACTCTTGTTCGAGACAATTAACAAGGCAGATGGACGTCTGAAAATTCTGACGTCCCGCCTCAACGTCGTAGATCGATCCCGACATTATTCCTCGAGAATAGTCGTTGGCCGTACCGCTTCATAAATCGCTCGATTTATCGTTGCTGACTCACCGCGATCCGTTCGCGGCACATTGCTGCCCGCAAGAGGCACCCACCGACCTTACCGGGCGGCACAGGTGAGCTATGGAGAAGCCAGACCTCGAAAATTGTCGAGAATATCCTGCACGATAATCACGGACATGAGCGTCCATAATCGAGCGATAAAGTAGTTTTTACGTACATCATTCTCGATCAAATATCGTAGACTATTTGCTAATGGATTACTTCTTTATAGCGTGTGTTTTGTTATTAAACTTAAATAATTAAATTTTTTAAATATTTTTATATTTTTTTTCAACAAATCACATTTTATCTATACATTTTCATCATCAATTTAAAAAGGGACCAAATTGTTTTTTCTTTAATACTGCGTGCAATTAATTGTTTCCATATTATAATTAATTGAAAGTATACATAGAGAAAAGAACTCTGATATTCAAGAATTTTAATGTAACTTTTTTTCTAAAACTTGGAAAAATAATCTCTAATTAAAATTTTATTATAGATAAAAGAGAAAAAGTGAGTCAAAGAAAAACTCTTTTCTGGACATTTTATTTATTTTATATATATTTATGTGGTTTTAATAATCAAACATATTTCTGATAAAATATAACATGATACTTGCTTTAATATAGTTTGTAAATCAAAATAGAAAAATATAAAAATTGTAGTTTTAAATATTAGTATTTTTATTAAGTGTTTTTATATAGTAAAATATATGAGTGAAGTACTTACGTCAAAATCAGTATTGCATTTTACCAGATCCGGCGGATGGTCGGAATATAGCTTCAAAGATTGCAGTAGACCCTTTAAAGAAATAATCACAAAATAGTAGAGAATCAAACGATATATAACATTCATTGTCTTGTTTCACGAGTCTCGTTTCTGATGTTTCCTGTCTTCTTCTTGTAAGAAACACTATTTGCAAATTAAAAAAACACTTATTGTTAAATTTCAGAGAAATGTAAAAAAGATTATATAAATACGATAGAAATAATAATATCGGAATATTGTGATTTCAATATATTAAGAGAGCTTTCAGCAATAAAGAATCTTATATATTAGATCTAAGTATCAAATCAGAAAGGAGCGACCTTTAAATATATTCATACGATAATAAATAATTATTGTTTTTTCTTACATTTTGTACTAGATTACTACAATTTATGATTCTCGTATTTTTCAATACACACTGCTAGAGAAAATCGGTGATTTATCTCCTCACAGGCAACGATTCCAGTCTTTTATTTTGGAAAAAGAAACCGACATACTGGGACGGTGCATCGATCATTCTGAAAGTGTTCACGGGATCGATCGATCTCTCTAAATGGCTCGCAGTAACGCGCTTTACGGTGCATTTTACGGTTTTCGGTCGGTGCAAAAGCTTGTTTCTTTTTTTTTTTTTTTTTTTTTTTTTTTTTTTTTTTTTTTTATCAGTCATGTTAGTTTGCAGTCGTAATACTTTTTTCGTTCTCAAAACAACTGCCGCGGATTTGTACAGTTGAAAAGTCGCTTTCGGTTACCTCGACGATGTTCGTCTTTCCAATTTTTGGTCGAGAGAATATTTCGTAAAAGAAAATAAATGTAAAGAATACATATTTTTATGTTATTTTTATGTTAAATAAATATGTTTTTTTCTTTGTTAAGTGAATATCTGTTAAAAGTTAAAAGATGAAAATATTTTTCAAAGATCAATAAAATTTACTTCACACTTGTTAACGTTGCATAAACACTGTCTTATCAAACAGATAAAATTCTTTAGACTTACAGATTTCGGCATAGCGCGTAGATTATCATGCTTTTGCGAGTTTTTATGCCGCAACTAAACACATATTCTATAAATCTATATTTCAACAAACTTAACTGTTTTATTAATTCAAATTTATTTAACAATTTTATATTATATTTTTGTACAAAAATTTGCATACGTAAAAGGAATTTTATTATTAACAAAACAAATAATTATTCCGACTAGTAACTCTTTTACAACGTACGTTTACATTGAAAATCACAAAGTACCAAACATTTTACGCACTATACACTAACACTTTTGATTGAGATTGATTATTTTCTTCAACTTTTAACTATGTCTTCCGTTGCGAACGTTCTGCGCGAGATGACTGAGGATGACTGTGTTATAGTTCGTTAGTCGTCGTCGAGCTAAAGTCTGCTGCAACGCGTGAGAGGGAGGGGACTATCGGCTTGTATGGGTCATTTAATATTCGGTGTGTATAACACGTCTAAAATCACATATAAATATGCTACGTATTTTTATATAGATAGATATGAGTATTAAAATTTAAAAGGTTCTATCTATTAATGTATCAGTAAAGTTAGAATTTTAGTTGTAATGTAAGAACATACGACCTATCAATATAAATTATTGTCAATGTCATCTTAATCGTATGTTAGATTTTGTTAGTTTTGAAACTGGTTACGTACGTAGTGTCTATGTTTGATTATGACATCAGAAGTGAGACAAAGATAGAGAAAGACAAAATCTGATACATGTACATATTTCAGAATTTATAAATTTCTTGTCTTCATATTGTGTGTGTGTGTGTGTGATGCAAAAAAATTCTTTTAATATCACAGCCGAATTTTTCACAGCATTTTTTTCAGCACAGATTTACTAACTTCTGACATCACAATTCAACATAGCTGCATGAATTGAAGATTTAATTTAATATAATCACCAGTCATGATACTAATAAGATAATATTTTATGATAATTAAATATTTTTGCCTTGCAGAAATTCGAATACACACACACACATATATCTACAAAATAAACAAGTACGTCAAAAAGAAGTAAATTTCTTAATTTTACTTGATTTATAGTTTATTGCAAAAGAGAGTATATAGGTAAATAAAAAATTTTATTATATAATCTAATTTTAATTTTATTATATAATCTAATTTTAATTTTATTATATAATCTAATTTTTATATAATCTAATTTTCTTTATCAAATCAACATCAATTATTTTGCTTAAGTAAAAAGAATATACGGGTCTTGACTAAAAGTTAGGCAAATTTAATGGTTAACACAAAAGAAGTCGGAAGTGGGCAGATTGAGAGAGAGAGAGAGAGAGAGAGAGAGAGAGAGCTGAAACAACAAGAAGCTTAATTTTCGTCGAGTTATTAGAGCATGATGAGAGAAATAGAAGAATCGAATTAACTGGCGGTCTGCATCCGCGAGGATCAATGTGCGGTCCGTCTAGCTCAAGCGTGATTACATATTTAGAAGAATTTTCCGAGTGTATCTGGCTATAGAGTGTCCTGATCTAGTGCTTTATATATAGCAGAACTCCTTGCAGCTGCCCACTTCAAAAGCGTTTGGGTAGTGAGTTCACGGGAAAGTCTGTGAAACTTTAACATCATCTTAAATACTTAATATCCGTGTCCGCATCGATTCAAAACTTAGAGCGATGAAATTACCTAACTCTTTCACTTCTAAATAGCTTCTATATTCAAAGCTTGTAATATCGTTGCTTATTATATTGTAAACACAATAACTGATTATAGTTACGCTTACAGATTAACTGATTATGGTTGTAAAATCACAAATAGTCTTTTTTATTCATATATACAGATATATTTAATTATCAAAACTGTTTTAAAGATATTGATTTTATAAAATCCGTTATTAGGCGATTTATTCGTAATATAATGCCACGATAAAACTTTGAAGACCAAAATTATTTAATTTTCTTTTTTAAGTAGCTCAGAAAAGTACACATTTTTTAATTTAAATTTTTTACTAAATTATTATCAATACTTAATAACTTTCTTTTTATTTTCGTCAAGTAGTAAGTTATTTAAAAAACCAAAAACAGTACATATATATATATTTATTTATCCAAACGTCACAAAGAGCTATCAATACTTAAATATTCTGAATATTTTTGTCATTTTGTTCTGCTTAAATAAATAATTTTTTACATGTGACATATAGATTATAGACAGACTTAATATAAATTCATGTCAGTTGCGATAAAACTGACAGTTAAAAATAAAAACGAAAAAGTATCACAAATAAAGTTACCAAAGTAAACCATGAATATATATGTATGTACATGATAAAATATTTGAAGTTTCTAAAGTAGAGAAAGATACTTGACTTTTCTCAAAATAAAATGTATGCTTATGCTGAATGAAACAGCGTGCCGATAAAGAGAACAAGTTAATTTGAACGCTAAGTAAAATATTCGCATTGTGGTAGGTACGTTTCAATGTTAAACATACAGTCAATCGCAACTGTAAACATCAGTTTGTAATGCGTTCCGCTGTTAGTATGGGAAATACGCTACTCACGATACTCGAATTAACCCAAATTATGATTTGTATGTGTTTCGAACTGCATTATGTTAAACAACACTGATTGCTACTTAAGCGTTAAATGATTAAACCAGTTATAGACTGGAACGTTAATTCATGACCCACACAGACATAACATGTATTAGACGTCTCCAGGATGTTTATAACTCCATGTGACGTCTAATGAACATCTAATGAAGGTTGTGTAGAATGTGGAGAGATAGTAATTTAGTTTACCGCATGTGTAAATGTATTTTTATAGTGTTTTTCTTTACACACAAAGTTATTCATATTAGATTTACTTACGTATAAATTTGTAACTGCTAAATGCAAGATTTTATAAGCAAATAAATGTCTGCTTTTCATAGATTTTTATTATCCTGACAACGTCGCGTACAAAGCTCTTCTGCTTACATTCCTCGCTTTTCTGTGATCCCGTCGGTTTCAAGCCTCAGAATACAACGAGATGTCACTTCAATCCGCGCAATTTTTGACGCGTTATATGACGTCTGTCTATTAAATCTCGTCGGTCGAATATCTCCTCGCCTTTCGATTACCAGATACGGACGATTTAATACGCGAATTTTGTCAGCACCACCAAATTTAATCCTATGAATTTCACGTTTAAAACAGTGTGAGAATGAAAAAGAGGATTGAGTGGACGGCTTTTACATAAAACGTAAAATCATAGCATATTTGAAAAAGAGAGTAATTTTATTTGTACGAAAACTATTCGACATATTTTTTTAAATTGTAATAAATAGAGATTAATTGTTGTCAGTTACTAAAAGCAATGTTTAATTAATTAATTATTTCACTTACGTCAAAAGAAACACATGTTGAGTAAGCATCCCATTTGAGAAAGCTGTAGCGAATGCCAACGTATGTGTGTGTAGCCGAACATGTCGGATAGTTAAATCTACGTGACCAGATAGACGCAAGTATCGTCGACTGTCGCATGTTAATGAATGCGTGCTCGTCAATGTCGCGGCAGAACACGAGCAAACGAGTAAGGTTCGTTTTCAATTGACAGTCGACTAGCCGGGAATGTCGCGCGTCGCGATTGCAACTTGCTAGAACTGATGAAATCCATTTTGGCTCTGCTATCGTCAGCATTATTTAAATATTAACCGTGTTCTGCTGCCAGTTTGAATTCTATTATTATAGCATTGTTTTAGTCTAATTACCGCATCTATAAATAGATAATGTCGTATAATTTAAAGTGATGTGAAGTTTTTGACAAGGCGTTTTAATTAAACATTTATGAGTGGTTTGTTTTTCCTTTTTGTTTCTACTAAATAATTATGCTAGATTTTTAATTCGTTACTTTGTCAATTAAGATACCCGCTTCTGTTTACATTTTATTCGTACGACCACAACGCTACACCATATTTCACCATTACACGATAAATTCTAATCTGCGTTAACCAGGCATGTCTGCAACGTTACTGACTTCATTACACTGTAAACATTTGTTCCGCATCACG